TGGTGTGTACGCGTAAAAATATGACGAGTATCCATATTGAAATGTATGAAATTGTAGGACATGAATTATGGATTGTCGATATCGCTTCAAGCTGTTGCTGGTTTTTTTCGCGTACCTACCTCTGACGCGAGACCGCAACGAATTAAATTAAAAGCTCTTTTCACTTGTCATCCCTTGATGAATTTGGTATTTAGGCATGCCAATATATATTATTATTTTTAACTTTACCATAGCGTACGCACATTATTGAAGAGAATAATTCCATGTTGCGGTTTTCATTGTTTCGCAGAATATCGTAGTCATACTATAGTACTGGTTATCGGGGATACCTAAAGGCCATTGACACTGTTTTTTTTTTTACTTTCTTCCCCGTAAAGTTTGTTATTGTTGTACTGAATTTAACCATGTATTTATAAAAAAAATATTTAATGTAAAGGTAAAATATAACAGTAAAGTGAAATATGGAAAACTATATGGATAAAAAGCAAGTGCAATACAGTAAAGCTTAATAAGGATCCACAATCAATATCACATGTGTATAGAATACGCTACAAGGCACAAACTAGCTACTAGCGTTACCGTGCTACCTCATGTAATCAGTACAAATGCGAATCGAGATGGTCACACAGAGCGCTCTCAATATTTTAGCACGCACTTTATCCAGATAAATGTAACTCGACCTTTACTCTTGTTCAGATTAGAATCACACTCCTTATACTTGCAAGGTGAACTGTAAATTTAAAAATACAGTTATCTATAACTCAAATATATATCTAAGCCACACTTTTCTCCTATTGAATAATCAGAAACAATAGAATACTTAATGTTCTGATATAAAAGTTTTCTTTTGTTTCCTCTACTTTAATTAATGTATTATTATTATTACTTAAAATATTGAAGTTGCATTATAGCTTGCTATTGCTGTAATTTATAACGCTCCTTACAAAAATACAGACATACACATATGCATACACATAATTATCATGCAGTAAATAAATATTTCATTTCAATGCATTACGCATCAGTAGTGAATACTGAAATTTGTACCGAAACACGCTGTATGCATACGCTGTATGTCAAAAATAAGTAAGAAGAAACGATTTCCGAACAATCTAATGAGAATCTAATAACAAGTTTCGCGAATGTAAACAAGAAACAATTGTTACTCGTGAGTTCATATTTAAAACGTAACTGGTTTAAAATAAATCGATAGAATACTATAGCGTTTTTACCTATAAGTATAAAAAACTGCATCTGCTGTTTCAGTGAAATATAACATTGACTTTGCATCATATAATGTGGATCTCTGTGATATGACAGAAGTCGTGATCGTATCTTTACATACTTATATTACAACTATCATTAACAATAGAATGCTACACATGTAAGAAACAGAAGAACTAATAGATGAACTATGGTTAGTACTCATGAATATTTGGTCTTATAAGAATTGGTCACCCCTGAACGTACGTTACAAGTTGCACATTACGCGTGCTTGTCCGCACTAGTGTCGTGTCGTGAAAGTAAGCCGGGACCCCGATTTTGTAACTCCCCCCGGCCGGGTATGATTTATGTGCCCCGACGACACATGCAGCGCTGCGCCCGCCGTTACTAAAGCTGCGATTTCATCGGGTTAGTGCAGACGAGCGGTTAGAATGAAATTCTATGAAGAATAAGTTTATTATATATGGTCTATTTAAAAAGGATTAAAATATAAAATAAGCAATAGTTACCTGAAATGCAGTACAGAATAACACACGCAAAATAATAAAATTGTGATAATTTTCAATAACCTAAAAATAATTATTCACACTCTGTTACATATGGGATGTGTTTATTACACAGATTTTATTTGAATTTTCTAATATGAGTACATATAGGTGATTCTATGTAAGGTCTACGTGTTAATGAATATTTGTAAACTAAACTAAAATCAAATTTTAAAAAAGTTAACAGTTATTACATATTTAAAATTATTTTAATTTTATATAAAAAAAAAATATATTCTCTAAAAACTGCCCATTTAAGCATTGGTTTTTGAGTAATAACTACTTTTTTTTTATTAATTATCTGACCATAATAACAAAATTTTCCCATTCACTATCTTCGTTACCCGAGCGTTCTGACCGTCTCCCAGACTTGTCTGCTTTAATGCTCTTATTACATACGGTTTAAATCTGACGTTGGGATCATGTTTTATGCATCCTAGTGCGCGATGAAACCGCTGCCTAATATATACGCGAGTGTAATAGCACGGAAGGGGATTTCATGAGATGCCGTTGTGACTTTGTTTTTGAACTCTTGCTTTAATATAAGATAGATGAGTATGTGTTTCAAATATTAAATTTTAATATAAATATTACATACACTTTCAATAGATCCAAAATCTCGAAGCAGAGTATGCAGGTTAATAGGTCCTTTTCATGGGCATTCAGTGTTCCAAATTTATTTTGCTTTCTTTATATTGTTTAGCGTATCATCAAAATAATGTCAGTGATATGTCATGATAGAAATTTTTGATAATGACAAAGACTGAGTAGATAAATAAATTGATACCTCAAACATAAATATGAAGAATTTGATATCAATAGTTTGTTATTAAATTATTAAATTTTAAAGGTATTCCCATTGAATCCAACTGCAATCCTCATGAAATAATGGAATTCTTGAATGCGTCCCAAAAGCGAGTGGACGATGAGGTTGTTATCAATTTCCCGTGCAACAAGTGGGCGATAATTTTGAATCTGTTGCAGCCGCTGTACTAGTCTTACAGTCGAATACGAAAATAACATTCGAATACTAGAATAGTGTTTGTATCTAAAGCTTGTTTAAATACCTTTTGCATTATTAATAAAGATTTATAAAAAATATATGTACATTTTGAATATCCTGTCTGTATTAATATTTCTAAAATAATTAAAGCTACTGGAATAAATTTATTAACACTATTTGCATTTGATAAGTTTTTATGACATCTGCTAAAATCTGATTGTGTAACTGACACTAATACAAATCCATTTTCGAACAGTTTGACAAGCGCAACAGTTGATACATTTTCTTATTATGAGTGATTCCTTGCTCTTTATAATTAATTTGTCAGCACCTTTTGACATCGTAAGTCGTTATCATATGTCATATGTGTAAACGACACTTACTAAGCACTCTGTTTGTCATCACTTCACTTTTTTTTTTAATAATATACATTGTTTTTCTTGGAATCAGTGGGTTGTACAGCATTATTTGTAATGTAATCCCCTTCGTGTTCTGATTCTACGAAGTTTGCGTGTTTATCTTGTATAGCAAGTCGTTTTGCGTGATTCTGTTGAAAATAATCAAGTAACTTTGGCTTTGTTACTTGCAAAAGTTCGTTTCTGTTTGCATTATTTACTAGTCTTTTAATGTGACTTTGTTCTGTTATAGTTCTTTTAATATTTTGATGTGCTAGTTTAATTCTAATTATATTTTTTATTAAATTATACTTATATTACTTACTGATGGTTAGTGTTTACTTACCAATCATCAATATATTTTTACACTCTCAATATAAAATGTGTAGGTAGGTAGATATTTTATTCACGATTTAGGTTAATAGCTTAACACCGTCACCTACCTTAATGAATATATATCATTTCTATTAGCTGATATAACATGTTGATAATGAAATCCGTTGCTCAATTTATAAGTTGGGCGAAGTTGATCTGTCATAACGGTCAATTATTTAGACCATATGATGAGTTATGTTTAAGGTCAGTAAAACTTTTCGTAACAACTATGAAGTCGAGTAGCGATTTGAATTATATATTTATGATTATTTTTTAAATAAAAATTATCAGTTTTTATGATCTATTATACAAATCATGTGGTAAGTTACAAAACCAATATGTTTTATGTCGATAGATTAAATCTAATATACTTATACAATGATCGATAACAGATCGGAAGAAAAATTATCGAGAGGCAATTTCACACAAACAAACTCAGTATAGAGCAAACTCACGTTAGATCGAACAAAGACCTTAAATATGTTGCAAGGAGTCGATAAAGTTTGTATTAGACAAATAAACTGCATTAAATTAAGTCATCGTCATAGTTATTAATTTAGAAAGTAACTGTACGAGTATTAATTTGCTATATATACTTGTCCGAACGAAAATCTTGCAATGATCGATTAATAAACTCACATCAAGTAATAAGCGACGTGACTTCAGCTTAGAATTGGTCCTTTTTTAATCCTAATAAATTACAGTTCAGGGCATCTTCTAAACCGTATATAATAGGCTTCGCATCTTCTTCGAAGAATAATGATTACAAAATGAAAAAAGCCCTGCGGCGTCTTAAATTATTTTAATTGGCTTCGGTAGCTACGGACTGTGTCTTACTGACAAACACACACAAATATACAAGTAAACACACATGCGAGTACAATCTCTGTATATAATTTCGTACCCTTTTGCATACATACTACATGGTAATGTGTATGTAGAAACAAATCAGTCAAGAAAATGAATGACAAAGACACATTTTAGTGCGGAATTATAATAAAACTTACTTATTTGTAGACATTTGTATAGAGGTAAATAACATATAGATCACCTATTTCTCCTATATTAAAATTATAATTTACAAAAATAAATAACACCATAGCGTATAAAACAATTTTCTTTTTTACCTATAAAATGATATTTTTTTGTGGGAATGAAAATAATTATAACATATGGATGATTATTATCGCTGTCGACTTTTACTGTGCTTTCCATAAACTTTGCAATACCCGACTCGACAGTCGAGAGAAATACCCAACAAGCAAAAACAATTAACAAATTGATAAGCTCAAAACAATTTTCAATTAACTCCGGTGGAGTGTTCGCCGTTTACAAATAACCACCATTTATCAGAAATGCCTATGCAGTTTTTAACGCCCGACGTACAGGGCTGCCCCGTGCAATTAAACGTTTTAAATTTAGACTATGTATTAATATGGTGTTATTCTCCGATTTCAGAGAGGAAGCGAGGACGTCAGACGTACACCCGCTACCAGACGCTGGAACTGGAGAAAGAGTTCCACTTCAATCGCTACCTGACGCGGAGGAGGCGGATCGAGATTGCGCACAGTCTTTGCCTGTCGGAGCGCCAGATCAAGATCTGGTTCCAGAACCGGCGCATGAAGTGGAAGAAAGACAACAAGACCAAAGGCGAGCCAGGGTCTGGAGACGAGCCCGATAACATGAGCCCGCCCACCTCGCCGCAATAAGGCCTCTAGTTTAGTTCACGGTCCAAACAAAGGATCTCTTCGTTTCAGATTACAAGGAAATTGGTTTCCGTGTCCATTTAGTTTCCGCGTATCGTTGACTTGCGTTCGATGGATGATTCGGCGTTGCGCGTCCGCGTAGATACGGTGAATCTGGAACTGTCGATCCGAGACCGGTCACTAGAACAGTTTCATTTGTATAAATTGTATGTTGGACTTTTCATGATAATATTACATTATAAACTAATACGTAACCTAGTGATTTGGAATAAAGAATAATGATAGTGTGATGGAGATTTTTACAGTTGTTAAGTATAAATTAATTTATAGAACAATCTCAATACCAATAATTACCAAAAACGCAGTATATAATGATTAGTAAACTGCATCGACATTTATGTGATTATATAGCTGGATAATTATCATTTTGGAATAATTCAATCATTTTGTAATTGGTCATTGTATTCAGAAATTTTTTGACAAAGTGCTTGATGTAATTATTTATTTCGTGACAAATCGTTTTCTCCATACCAATTTAATTTATTTCAACTTAATTTGTTACTATTTCTTTAAAATATAAGGTTGATTTGGTGTTAAGCACTTTGTAAAGAAATTAGCAAAAATATACTTCCCTATACTTAATTTTGAATCACAAAACCATAAGGACCTCTTATAATTAACCATTGATAAGAAGGCAATTAGTATCCATATTGTTATTATTTAATATATTTGATGTTTTATTTCTAATTAAGCTATCGAGATACTATTCTGTACATACATACCTACATAATAATTTTTAGAATTTATAATGTACAATTGTTTTAGTGTGAATAATTATATTCGAGATTAATTTGTGAAACAACGATTAGTTTCGTGTTCTGGATACGAGTGTTTATTTTGTGGATCTTCTCTGATTTTCACTTTTGGTTCATAATAATTTGTAGTATGGAAAGGCCAGTTAAACAAGTGCAATGTATACGATTTTTCGATGACACATATACGTAATTAATACTGATAATAACGTCATAGGAAATTTATTATAATTATAAAATGTTACGAGAATGAAAAATTATCGTTTAGAAAATACATATTGAGATTTCGATTATTCTTTGATAAACTTCTATTACAATGACAAAATGAATGTTGTGCCATTCAGTGAGGTGAAAATAATTTAAAAGACAACTCGGATTGAGACACTGGATATGAAGTTAATGATGTTGATAATAACGAAACAAAGGTTACCTTCGAACTTGTAGGTGCAGGTAGAGATATTATTTGATTCTTACGGATGTGTAAAGTAGGTACACAGTATACCAAAGTTAGAGAATAAAATGCCGGTTGTTCAATGTTCATGTAACGACGAACCTTTGTCAGGCTACAATTAGCTCGTATAAAATAATATCGATGCTGATTGTTCCTCTTTACCACTTCGTTTTATTGAAAGGTATTTTTATAAAATCATTGCCTATGGTAAACCGATATACGTAAAATTATCGAACATTTATATTTTACTCGTAACACGATGTTTTTACGAAAATATTTAAAAAAAAAAGGAGAGGGAGAAATTAAGAAGGTTGAACTTTCATCAGGATTCGCGTTATACGTTTTTCGTATTAATGTAAACTATTTGTAAATTATTACTCTTTTTTTTCACATAGAATGTAATTAGCGAATGTTTACTAAGAACTCAATGAGCCGGCTTCAGTTTATAAATATTATGTTTTATTTTATTTTGTGCTGTGTTCGTTAAGTGAATGTAAATTGTAATAATTGTATATTGTCAATATTATTCAATATTTATTTATTGATTTGCTTAATTAGGTTCGCTTTCATGTACTTCGTTTTTAAACTGATCGAGTATTTATTACTTGATTACTGTCTGGCTGGGATGTATTTTTTATGATTCTCATTTGAATTTGCTCAAACATCTCACGTTTATGTTGTACATTTTTTTCTAGCAATAAGAATTGTTTTATATTGTGTAAAATTGAAACTATGAAACGTATTTGTAATGGATGGTATTTACAATGGTGGCATAGATTATATTATATTTTGTTGAAAAATCATGTGCAATCTTAACTAAAATGAAGTACTAGGAATCCCTTGCCAGATAGAAACCTCGACTTCTATATGATTTGTTAAATTCACATATTAGGCTTGCAAAGTTCAAATTTAGTTTCGGTTAAGTATATCTACAACTGTCCCCGAACTTTTCAAAATTAGAACTGTAGAGAGAAATGGGAACCTAATTTGATGGATATTATTTACCATTTATGTCCTATCGATTCAAAATTTATGAGATATAACTATAATTAGTAACTTATTAAGGTTAGGCGAGACGATATTGTCATAAATATATAAATACATGAAATTAATAAAGCATAATGATTGTATTCAGATATTTCATTTTGAAGAAATTATTCCTATGCTTGGTAGTAAAGTACCACTTTCTAATACTTTCAGTATAACTGAAAAATAATTATTTGCGCTATTTTTTCACAAATATAAAATAAATATATATACATTGGCATTAGTAGGTTATTATTAATTAATATGAGGATGAGCAAATATTAACTGGTAGGTAATTCAATATGGTGTTAAGTCCGTCCTTTACACTATTTAAGCGTATTAAAGTTTAACAAATCAATAAATATTAGTGACTTAGTTCAGGTACTAAGGTATTATATGTATACCATATAATACCTTAGTAGACATTGTAATGTCTACTTAGGTATCGGATTTGAATATTAGTACTTGATTCCATTGAGTGATTAACGTTTCTTTTGTTTTCTATAAATAGTTATAAGATCTATTGTAATCGAATTTAAGGCATGCCTTTGTACGCAGGGAACGAATAAGCATTACAACTTTATTTGCTTCCAATCCTTCATTGTCTGAAACATTCTTATACATAATACAGAACTGTTTTCCATGATCGTGGGCCGAGATACCGACATTATAATGCGTTCCCTAACGACAAAATAATGATTTGCGTGATAGGGGCCCGGTTCCTTCCGTGTCAGTCACGACCGATTGGTGCGCCCTCCCGCGGCAAATCTCCGAATTACTTTTTTTCTGTTTCAACACGAACACGTTATTTATAAGACTAGGTGTGGCCGACGCTAATGCCTTTTTAATAATGCCTCGCATCCAATGAACGCTGAAGGCAAAACATTACTCCCCGTAGAACGAACTAATGCGTTTTTGACAAGTTTGAAATTGTAGCAATTATGGTTTTGCAGTTCTAAATGGCCCGATATTTGTCTGCTGGGTGTTTTATACTGCGGAAGTCGTTTGTAATATTCCATTCTGTTTCGGCAAGGTCAATAGTATTTTTTGTCATGTGGCTAGCAATATATGATTTAACTATTGTGTTCGCAGGCAATTATTAACCTATGTGTATAGGTACTTATCTGCATAATCAAAATAAAAAATAAAAATAGCAGCAATTATATAAATGATTAAATAACGATATTTTTATGACGACTTTCATAAAATTTCTTTCAATATTAGAGATATCATTATTTAAGATTCAGTCATGTTATTTAACCTTAAATTATTTCAGATGATAAATTTGCGATGTGTAATCACATATCCATCCATTATATTTCACACATAATTATAAATAAGTATATATGAAAATAGTGTAAAAATATAGGATCAACGAAGTCATGTTATGTTTCAGTTTATCTTATTGATAGATTTCTACACGAGACCCATCATTGGGACACAAACAGTTCAATTTCTTTAATTCAGTGTTCGTTGTATCTTGAGCTATTTCTGTTTGTTGTAGATACATCAATAGAGGTCACGTTGTGTTGGTCTGCAAACGTCGCAAGCGCACGATAAGTGTTATTTATTGTCCCCTTACAATGTGGCATTGCACTTGTTCAGATTGAGTTCATGGCCGAGGCAAGATAACGGCACGTGTTACAAAGGTCAATATTAGCAATATATATAGACATGAAATTTGAACCCATAAGTAGATATATTGTTATCTTTGTTTTTACAATGTCTCGTACATTGACTCTTGTTGGTTGTGGGTTTGTAGGTCATACGGGTAGGAGGGTGATAGACAGTATATATTTAGAGATTACACAGTCTACATAATTATTAGTTTATTAAATAGTATATTAACTAAGTACGTGGGCACCAAACAGTTGAGTGTAATATTCTTCATCTATTGTGGATAAAATATTAAGGACTTTATTTATTATGTTATTAACTAGCTATTTACTAATAGATACAGTTAATTCCAGTTTAAAATTTACCAAGTTTTCAACATCAACTCAAGCCAAGTATTAAATTTCATTAAGTATTAAACCTAGCTTGAGTGAGTATCCCAGTTACACTTTCGAAAAGACAAAGCTCAGGTTTATCAAAATCCAAAATCCTTTATACTTTTAACATGTGGAGATATCTGTATATCTCGATTAAGTACTTATACAATTTTCTAACATTATGAACTATATCAAAACCAATTCACAGTTAGATAAAATTTTATCATGAAAAGCAAGAAGACCATATACATTCTGCTTTTTAGTTCATATTTAATCTATTACACTATCTCTCGATGTATTTATATTATGAGTATGCCTTAACACTTTTGTGTGCTTTTCGATACATTTTCTATGATGAACAAAAATAAGAAAATTTTATATAATTTGATATTTTCTTATTTTTGTTCTGCTTACGGGGTTAAAATCTTTTATGCTTTTCGTATCTCTTGTTGCTTTATTCTACTTTATAGTGATCTGGTTTCAGATATCTGTCATCTTCTAGCATCGTATATGCCCTCCTTGAACAACGATATGCATATTTTCAATAAAGTGCATTAGGCGTTCCATGGATTTTTAAATTTAATTATTATTTGACCTCATAATGCAAGTATATCAGCCCGCTTATCGTTAAATGTATGTTGTATAGGTGAGATAATATAATAAACATTTTCAAATATCTACTTTATACTTAAAGGACCCTGTTGAATTCTATCTGTTTATGTGATTTTTCATATTTAAAAAAATTTGAGAAATTTCTAAAAGTATATCATTTGACATATAGATAGCGTCTCAGATATAGTTGGGATATGAAAGTACTTAGTATATATAAGTATGGATAAAATACGATAATAATTAAGGATAATTATGACATCGGAACTAAGTAAAAAGATATATTTCTTTGAGCTGAGACTGTAAAAGATGCATGAAGTACACGTTCTAGAAGTACATATTCTTCTTCAAGGTTCACAGTAGTATATTATATTAATAATGGTGAATTCGTAAAGCCTATCTAATTTATTATTATTATATCAGTTGTCAACTATTCATTGTTTGACAAAGGCCTTCCCTTATTGGGACGTTTTGCCAGCAGTTGCTAGGCTTTGTCTTAGTCTATGGTGGTGTTTTTAGAGGGGCGTTGTTGCCCATCCCTTGACTATTAAGTTCCCTTAGTCGCCCCTTATGACATCCATGGGAAAGGAAGGCATATCCTACCTCAATATTACAGAGTTATTCTCATAATTTTAGTAAATTTGCTTTATCATGAAAGACAATTTTTTTATTTTTTATCAACTTAAAAAAAGGTGGAGGTTTTATGTTCCACTGTAGTTTTTTTTTTTTTCAATATTAGTTTTGATTGATATTCAAAATTGTTTTTCAAGTAAGTTCTTTTAAACAATGTTCAACTTATGTACTTATATGTAATAAATTTAAATATTTATCATGTATTTAATTAAGATAGGTAAAATTACAAAAAAGACCGTCTTTAAAAATTTTTAATACTTGTATGCAATTAAATTAAACCGTATCAAACTTGTGTCAGAATAATAAGAACCTGTAATGTCCCGAAACACCACTTAAGTTTAATGTCCCCAGATAAAGACATCATTCACAAACAATTTTTCATTCGCGACCTTGCCTCATAACGTTCAATTTTATTGACTGCCATAAACCAAAGCAATGGTTAAATCAACGCCGCTGTATCGATATAAACACCTCGTAAATCAACTATCCCTTTCGCGCTTAGTTGTACAACGGTACACGTAAGAGAGACAGGTGCGTCGTCTCTTCATTTAGCTGATACTGAAAATAGTTTATGAGTGTTGAGGCGCCTTCTGTATTTATATGATGATAGACTTTATTGTCAAGACGTTTGGGTACATTTTGCCATGTATATTTTCATTTATTACTTTTAAATGGGTCCTTAAATTGCAATAACGATTTGTTTATAGCCCGTGTGAAGCGGTAAGCCTTTGCAGGATGATAGGTACTTTATAATTTATGATACCTATCATGTGTTATTTGATAATTTATGAAATAATTGTCCAATGTATTTATCGTTTAATAAAATATATTATTAACTTAATTAACTCAAATTTTTCTGTAGGTACGTACCTTAGATGAATATTGATGATTACTAAAGATAGATTTTTTAGAAGAAGTGTTTCAAAAATTTCATTAGGATCATTATATTGTTTTGTTCAGGTTGGAGTTTGTTTATAATTGGGGGAACTCGGAATTCATTTCTATATTTAAGTAAGAAATCATATAATAGTATTTTTTCTTAGTACTACAGAATTTTATATTAATATTCTCAGGATATATACCTATCAGTAGGTTTGGTATATGATAAGCAAGAACTGAGCATGTAAAATTAGTAATTTTTAATTTATTTTTTTTTACTTTGTCATGTGATACAACATATCATGTTATTACATTTATATAGATCAGTCAGCGCCTAAAGTAAATGATGAAAAGAAAAAAAGAAATAAAATATTAACTAACCTATTTTTCTAGCAAAAAATCAATATCACAGATATCATACTGTAATTAAACATGTCTCTGTGTAGATACATAATATACCTAATACCTAAATAATACCTAATACCTAATAGGTAAGTGCGTAACCTAAAATATAAAATACAGATACCTACATAATATAGACTCGTACATTGGCGGGCAAATACATCAGAATTTTGTGTGTAGGGCACGTAGATATCTCTACATAGTTACGTGGCTAGGTCGCGACTTAGACGTTCCTTGTTACTACGCTCGTAGCATCTTGATATTTTTTTGATTACTGGATATAAAGTTGACCTTCGTTGCCTTTTATATTTTTCTTTGCGATTTTATATTGAGTTTATTCGCAACTGGTTTTTAGATATTGATCTAACTATATAGATAATAGGAGTAAATTTTTGTTATTATATTCCTATTGGTACCTGTATTACTTACACTAATTTGCTGTAAAAGGGATTCACGTATTTATTTTAATAAAAAAATATATCCAAGTAAATAGGTAACATATCCATATACAGACATAAAAATTGTATGTTTTAATAAATATGTAAGTATTCCTTCAATTATAAACTGATTTGGTAATTACAAGGGTATAC